CCTTTGTGGTTCAGTGACTGATGACCCGGGGTCTCGGGACCTGAGTCAGAAGAGAATATAAGGTTATTAAATTGGATGTATGAATTAGTGGACTTGAAGGTTACTTTCCTGAATCATTAGTGGCGCATGTTTTTAGTTCAGATCATTAACCGTGGAACTTTTTTATTTCGAGTTGAATTTATCTTTCTCGAGATAATACGAAGATAATTTCAATCCATCCTACATTCTATTCCATAGTGCTCAAATTAAGTAACCGCGAGCACTTAGGGAGGCAAATTATTGATGGAGCTTCTGAAAAGTCAACTTCCTATTTGCATTACGACATTTCTCGTATGTCAAGATATACAGGGTGTTGAGTTCGCAATTCGTTGAACACGTTGCTAACGGTAGTGTGCTATTCTTTTCGAATAACCTGATATTCATCCTTTTTGAATTATTTTTTGGGGGCCTCACTGTGAATTGAAGCGGATTGACAATCACCCTCCTTTTTTACCTTTCTTTCTGTTTTTCATTTGTTCCAGTGCTTCCCACAGTTTTCGTGTTGCAGGAAATATTGTCTTCCTTCAAAAGATCACAAACATATTGAAGTCGTATTTCTTGAATTACTCAAAAATGACTGACGCTGAACCAGATTTCTTGACAGACTCGGAATCACGATTGAATTTGCTGAAACATTTGTTATTCAACTGGCTCTCTATCACTTATAGTTATATCGAAAGATGTCGAACAGCACTTTATCAAAACACCTTCATCCATAGAACGGCTAGGCTCTGGAATTCATTGCCTGAGGAAGTATTCCCAACAACATATATTCTCCAGAAGTTCAAAACAAAATTCCAATACCTACCTCCTGTCCCTATCCTCCCTAGGAACGCACGATGTTCCTTGAACATTATAGAGATTTCCTTTCGTGCGCTCCAAGCGATAAAAAAATACCGACGTCCCAATGGTAAGAATCGAATTTGTGTCTCAATGTCAAATTGATCACTATGATGCCAACAAGTCATCAGAATTTCATCGCTGGTGAAGAAATGATACCAACATATTATACAACACCACACAGGCTTCGATGAATTTATATGAATTCAGCATTCTTTCACAGATTATTGATTAATTCATCATTACTTGAAATAGATCTCATAATTGAGAGATTCAGGGTAGAAACGCCCTGTGTGTTAGCGAGAGCGAGACAATACTGTTTCGTCCTACTGGGTATCATCAGCGGCTCTCGATCTCGGAAAATGCAACGCTTCACCCACATCGACGATATCTGTCAATACATGATGGAAGAAGTGAGTTTATCATCATCTAGAGACCAAGATCGAAGGAGTATTCAACAGAATCGCTCCATATACATAGTAACGAAAAAACACGATTCTCGAAGTTAGACAATCTAAACATGAGACACTTAGTATAGAAAAGCCGATAAAAGCTCTGAAAACAGCGAAGACCCGTAAACTACTTCCCGTTTTGCTGACAGGATTTGCTGGTTAAGAAACACCCAGGGATACTGTAATTACCCCGATACGGTTTGCGGAAAATTGCATCTATCATATCCTTCGCCGGTTGAGGATAACAGTTCTTCGACACGATATCACGAAGGACGCCATTTTACATTGAATTTTCATACGCTTCCAGAAGCGGACTGAGATATAGGGTAGTTGTATGCATAATATAAGTCCAACAAACTATCTTTCAGGAAGTTTATATTTATATGTATAGGAGTGTTCATCTCTCGGTAGGTAATGTTTAATAGATTGAGTCGAAATACTACTTTTTTCCTGACATTTTTCATTACTGTTACGTGCCCTCGAAGTTACAGAATGAAAAATGATTTTCTTTGATAACTTTTCCAGTGAATATTGAGTCAACCAAATTTTGGTGATTGACTTTCATGTATAAATCAGTTGTTCTGCTACAAAGTTAGGAACCGATTGTCCTCGATGCTTCACACTTCAAAACTTCAAAATAAGTGATATTTTTCAATAGTCTTCAACAAAACATGATATCTATCCAGACAGAGGCTATGATTTTAATTTATTGTTAGGAGAATTCGATAGAGAGAGATCGCAAATTTTGTTTTTCTATACGAAGTCATCAACAATGACATAGATTCTCTGAATCTTTTGTCAACAGTAGGCTCCACAATGTCCCAAGAATTACGTCTAGAACAAATACTACCTTTCACTTGGTATAGTATCTGATTCACGACACCATTATTACTGTCCTCTTTCAAATATGTGTAGAATTTACAATAATTTGCCATCTGTCAATGTTGACATATTTTTTCTGTCATCACGAGCATTCAAGAAAAAAATTTCTAGTGTCATTCCGAATTGATCATTATGTCTTTATATATGATCATTACCGTTCAGCTCATTTTTGTAAAATACTCCTGTTATTAGGCAATCAGCCTGTTGGATGTATAATTATTAAATACATAAATGAATAGATAAACTAGGTCTCCTAGTTCATCAGAAAAGACCTGTATCCACAACAATATTTCATACACATGTCATTCCCTAAAGATTCTCAGAGGCTCCTATGAGACTTTGATTTCCCACTATAATTTCCTTGCTTGAGCTCAAGAAACAGGTACCCTGTATATTTCTGACATTCCACAACCGAAATGAAATTGAATTTATCAAGAATTAAAAGTGCCCATACTATTTCTCACTACTTTCATGAGGTTCGTATATTTTGTTGATCCGATCCGATCCTGCTGCAAATGAAAATTCATCGGTATTTATTCGTGATCTATGCATGCAACTAGCTATAAATTTCATTATCAAAGAGTGTTTTACACGCTTCATAGCGGTAGTTGCCTTCCCTTCCACGATTAGATAAATTGCCCATACGACAGAAAAATAGCTGAACATCGTGTTGTTATTGCAAAACAAGTTACAGAATAATAGAGGTAAATAGAAAAAAGTCATAACAAGAATTAGTCCAGATATAAGGAATTGATGTCCAAAGCCAATCTATCCGTTTTCGCATTGTCAGCAAGTTTTTTTGTCATTGAAAAGCATGGTATCAAAACTGCCTGAATTAAAAATTTCGTACTCAGAATATTTCACAATAATATTAAAGAATGCCTGATGGGTCGAGACAGAGTTCAACCCCTATATAAGTAGAAGTAATTTCCCCTTGTAGCCATGGCGACGTTGTACTACTATCAAGAATAAGCTTGTGCTTGTATCTCTTGCAACTCTTGAAAGAAATACATATAGGAAGAAATAATGGAAGGAAGAAATAAAAAAAAGAAAAAAAACAGAAATAAAGGACGAATGGTGAGATACTTTGCATTCCATTCAACTCAAATACAAATCTCGATCTGTATAACGCGGCATACTGAACAACCAAAAATCGTATAAAATGATCTTGATGTTATCAAGCAATGATTGATTTGATATAAGTTATTTTCTCTCATATACTCCCTATACATATGACAAGGAATTGCCCCCTGCATTTGTTCGCACTTATTCATTCACGCACCCTGTATATATTTATAAAAATACAGCAACAGAAAAACCCAATGAAAACTATAAAACATGAATGACTCTGGAACATCTATTTGATGCGAATGTGGCGGATTTGACCACGTGCCAGTGTCTCCTTACTAACTCAATGTTGATGACACAATGCAGTCGTGAAAATTAGCGAAATAATTAAATGATCCTATGATGAATGTGGCGAAATCCTTCTCTTATAGCAAAGAAATATCTGATTTCATTTTGAGTAATTGGCGGAGTTTCAGATATCTCATTCATTGTGTTCAATGTCTTCGATCTTGAAGTTTTATGTATGGCTACAAAAGTAAAGGGTTCCAATCCTGAAGACAAAAAAGTTCATGAGATATGTTTCTTGTTACTAAGATTCAATATCGATTCCTATTGGTTTAGGAAAAAACAATGTAGCAGAGGACCGCATAGCACAAAGTAAATCGACATCCATCGTTTTGTTTCAAATTAGCAGCTGTCTTCATCTGCATCTATAGTTTTACTAATGATGAGCATCGTATCCTCTGGCTGTTCATTATGATATTTCGGATGCTGAAAATCATAACCTGGATTACAAGCTTTTGGTAGCTCCAGATCTCGCATTGAAGTACGCCAGACAATTCTACTTCTTTGTCAGCGGTTTTGGATGGTCTTTCAGCAAGTTTATTACTTCCATTTGCATTTTGCTAGGCAAATTCACAAATTCTCGGCAATAGACGACTGTTCGTTGGAATTTTCTCGCAGAAACCAGCAACCGTGATTCAATAAACCGCCAAGCAATACGGCATTCTAGTTGGGGAATTCAAACAATACATACAACCTCACCAAACTCGGGAAACTAGTAAATTGGATTCGGTCTCGCCTTGATTCACATCACAGCTAACTACGGCTGATTATTCGCAAAGTGTAATCGGAATATATTAATCTTCAACTTTATACATCGCTTATCATTGGTTCCTGAGACGTAAAGGAAGTCCTTGTACATTCATGGAAAGTTGTTCGGAATATCTTTGAATATCTTCTGAACGAACACATAGCCAGGATATCCCAATGGAAATTGTTACCATTTTGAAACGAATATTCTATCAAAATAGAATAAACTGTTTCAAATATGAAAACGCGAAGTCATGTCCACAACTTTTGTCAAGAATAATCAAATGTCACCCATAAAAGTACATGTTGCGGGCTTAGATGGATATGACTTCGAGTTTTCATCTATACGAACTACACCACTTCACTTTGAGTCACCATGGAACAAACAAATGTTTGCTGCTTCATGATATGGTTAGCCAGTAGATTGAAAGAGAACGTTCGACAGCACCTTTCATGCGGCAATAAAAAGGGTCCTTAAGAACGAAGAATTGGATAACCTGGTATCCAGATAGGAATGTACCAAATGCGGATCATCCAGATGGAAACAAATAGGGAATAACAATTCAGAACGCTGGCTGAAAACAGTCTCACTTGTTTTGGATATGCATAGTCATAGACATAAGCATCATGACCAAAGACCAACTCAACAAAAACCACAGTAGTACCATTCACCGCCGATTACTGGAAAAAACGAAGCTGAAATATTCAAGAGCTGATCGTTTCGGAAAAGAAACCATCAGAGGTAAAAAAGTCTCCAGGTCTAATCATTGATTCGAAATCACTCTGGAGTAGATACATATAGAAATGATAGCTAGTGAAGCAAGCTCCTCGATTGTGACGCCGACTGGTGAGACTGAAATATTTAGCACTCATTTGACGATGAAAAAGTGAATTATAAAGCCACCTATAGCACTATTTTAGATCCTTCCAGATGAAGCTGAATTCGCCGAATCACATTGCTTCCAGTTATATGACAGGAATATCGCATCAGAGAATCTATTGAATTCGCGTTTGTGAAAAGAGGACATAATAAAACCGGAAATGGAACTAAGTGTATTGGAACAAAAAGTTGCAGAACGGAGAAACAATAAGAATAACAGAGCTTCTCGACTGGCTTCAGCACTGAAATCGATCTAGAACCGTTGAGACAACACTTTTCCATTTATTCGGGAAAGATAGTGACATGATTATCTTGTCTCTGAATGAATCTGTAGTCGATTTCCAGATCTGCAGAGATGTCTTTGTAATTGCTCGTTCTCATTTTACGAGTCATTCTATTCATGAGACTGACAGGGTTTATTCAAGATAGTTAGTTTCAACTTATCGAAACAATTCGCCTCCATCGATGGAAATAATTTTGAAATGTCAATCTTGACTACTCCTAGGCATCTTGATCTTTGTAGAATTCGTGGGGTTAACAATGTATTATTGATCATCGAATATCTCGATATTCCAACCATATTTCGTAAGAATTGTGAATATGATTTCAATTGGGTGCTGATAGAAATAACTGAAGTTATCTCTATGAGCTACCCGCGAATTGAAATGACTAATGAACAGCCATTGTGTGGACAGGCGTACCTAGATTTATCTGTTATCTATATTCAGGTATACAGATACAATGCGAACGAATGGTTGGAAATGAAATCATAATCCAGGATGGATAGTTATTAGTTCAATATTCATGAGCACAAATTACTAAATTGACAGTGTGCATTGAATTTGCTTGAATATCATGTGAAATTGAGAAGTTCAAAATTATTCAGTAATATCATAAACCAGGGGAGATTTGAGGGCAGAACATACTTATATGAATTTTAAAGAAACCTTCTGTATATGCAAATTGAACGGGTGGCTCTTCCTTAAAAATTCACCTTGGTAGTTTGTGACGCTTTATTGCTATAAGTGTATGTCTCCCAAGAATCCTGAATATGCAATCAATCATCAGACTTCAAACAATTACAATGGTGAAAGTCAAGCAATAACTCATCTTCAGTGACTCGAAAGTTCATAAACATAGTGGTATAGAATATAATAGAATAGAATTTTATTTGAGTTACAATTATGTTTTCGGCAAGTCACTGGAGTACAAAATGTTATTTTGAGAAGATTACAACAATAAATATGCACCTAAGCTAACACATACAAACAAAATTTTCACAAATCGAAAATCCGAATTTCGGGGATTTCGAAATTCAATCAATACATATTATCGAGAAGTAGTGGTGTTCTCAGATACTGGTCGATAAAGTAAAAACAATGAACGAAATTCAATGAGTTTATTTGGGATTTGTTGAGCCTATATCGGGAAGGCCTCAAGTAGTTTGCTCCATTGATACTCATGAAAATCGGAGTTGGCAAACAGAGTTCTTTCATTCTTTCGAATTACCAGAACAGTATAGAGTACCTTAATGAATAGGGATAGGGCAGGCATAATAGAGAGCTAGGTATTTGAAAATTTGTTGACAAGGGTCCCTGTAACCTGCACCAGCAATAATTCTTGTCGCTCTTTTCTGTATTTTGATAACTTCACACGAATGAACATAGTTCCCCCATGAAAGTATGCCAAAATGTATGTGTGTATGAAAGAAAGTCAAGTATAGCAGGACCGTACAGTACTTTCGAGTTGACTCTTCATGTTGCGCAACAGAAATATTGAAGTGAATAATTTTTAACATAACTGCTCAATATGGGACGACCATGCAAGTTTTCCATCAATAACTATTCCTAGAAGCTTGAAACTCTCTTCACTGCCAGCTATCCCATTAGCAAAGACCAGTTTTTGGGTTTTGCTATTATTCAATTCAAAGTTGTTTGCACTAAACCAGTTCTGTGCCCTATTCAAAGAATCGGCCATGGTGATTGAAACACTTCCTGCATGAATAGCAGTGCTGATTAAGGTTGTGTAGTCAGCGTATGCAACACATTTATGAGAAGACATAAACTGAAAGAGGTCGTTTACGTAAATGATGAAGAGTGGCGGGCCAAAAACGGATCCCTGAGGTACCCCATGTGAAATGGTGTGAAAATCAGAACATATCTCTTTACATAGACTGGTTGTTTTTTATTACTTAAGTATTACTGTATCAAATCAAGAGATATACGTCTCTGACACCATGAAAACGCAGGTTCTCAAGTATAGTAGAGTGGCAGACTCAGTCGAAGGCTCTTGATGAATCGCATAAAGTAATAGCAGTTTCCATGCAATTTTCCAATCCTTCGACTATGTTACAATTTTAAAAACATCATGTATAGTGTTGCATTTACTCCTGAATCCAAATCGACAGCAGTCAATACACTGATTCGATTCAAAATAATTCATGATTTTCTGCTTCAGTATAACCTCAAAAACTTCGGCAATTATGGGAATTATGGATATTGGCCGGTGGTTTGATATCTTTGTAGACTCCCCTTTTTTGAAGACGGGTATCACTTTTGTTATTTTTAAAACGTTTTTTTTTCACTAGCTATGGTTCAATCGTGGAGGTGGAATATTCATTTGCTATAAATTTTTTTCCACCGAATGTCCTTGGCCATGAGTACGTAATTCCATCGTCATACTGTATATATATGTCGAATGTGACTTCACAAAGCAGAAGTCAGGAATATACACACAAAAATTCTTGACATACATCATCTATTATTGGTACTCTGGTAACTCAAATCGAGTGAGTGTGAGGCTGTAAATACCAAAAAACACAATATATGGTTTCTTGAATTCATACCTGTTCAACCTCAACTTGATTTGGGATATCAGATTGATACATGTGCGATTGAAGAACATCTTTTAATTCCCAATTGTTTTTTTTTTGTGCTGCCCCTACAGGACTGAAATGTGAGTATATCTTATGTGGACTAACTGAGATCTAACTGCATGCAGTGTTTGACGCCATTGCTATTCCCTGAATATTTTGTATTGACTTCTGCACAGGATAGAGGCTGAACACAATGTTTCAGCTGATCTACCGAAATTCAAGGTCATTAGTGAGGATACTCAACAACCTATTGATCTCATATCAGTGGATTTCTAGCAATTCGAAATGAGAAACTAAATACAAAATGTGTGGGGTGTTTTTCTAATTATCATTGCCGCATAACGAGATATCTAAAATGATCATTTCATACCTTATAATATCATTATTTGAGGAAAACATACACATATACTTACTATATATTTGAATATTAATTTGATCATAAATCAGAATGATTTTCAATATCTTTATACATATACAATTATTGAATGCATTTTCTACGGTAACCCAGCAATACATCCAATTTAATTAGTGCGCAATACTTTGGCAGTAGATTTTTCGATAGTAAAATGACATAGAAAGTTTGAGTGAACATAGGTGACTAGTGAGATAGATGCCCACCCTGTTGAAGAAGCTTTCCTGAAGATTGATTTTCATTATATTATTTTCGAAACAGTTTGAGATACAATGATATAGAATATGTACCTCACCTTTCATGCTGAATACAAGAATTTTGATACATTTTTAATTTTCTCAAGAATTGAACAGGGTTTCTCCGCCGTCATTTTCATCTTTCCTACAAGAATTTAGGAGTGTAAGATTGAAAAAACAGTATACTCTCATTCGACAATGATAAAAGGCATATATAGATATGAAGTAAAATCGATTCGAACAATAAATTGCACAACACTCAAATCATTCACGATCTTGAAAACATATTCGCCAGACGTTCTTTTGTCAAGAATCAAGAGTCAGAATGAATCAGAATATAAAAAACAATTGCTTTGAGGAAACCAAGATCGAAACATGTTTTTTCGTCATACATTTTTCCCATATAATGCATTATTTTCAGCAGGTATCTAGGGAAATCAGTGTAATCAAGCTGTTTCCATAATGATACAATCATGAGTTTGCCTATAGGAAACAAAAAAATAAATTCAAAATGTTGTCTTGCAATATCAATATTCAAGATTTAATTCGATGTCGGAGTAAACATTTTCTGATTGGAATTTTCTGATGGTCTCAACCTTTGCCAGAAGAATCGAAATACATCAGTAACAAAAAACAAAATGAATCCTGACCTTTAATCTTCCTCAATTTTCTCCACACGAAACATCGATGTTATCAGATATTAATAAATGACCTCTTTGACCTGACCTTTACATTTTTTCCAAAGGCCTAATAATCTATGAACAGATAGATACATCCTTGTTTTACCCTCCATGAAACGGGCATAAAAAATGGAATGAGAATCATCGATATAGGTATCTGCATATGTATAAGACGCCTCTTTTGGATTTAAAATCTCAACAAAAATTCAATTATTGCTAATCGTCGAAGTTGATTATTGTGTATCAGTCTTATGTTAGTTTCAATCCCTCTCCCTCTTTTCTCCTGTGGGGAATCTATATTGGGGTTGGGGTTGTTAGAAAATAATCAGAATTTTGTTTTCGAATAACTTTTTCATTTCTGGACCGATTTAATTAATTATGGTCTCATTTCAGACAAAAATGAGCGAGGCAGGCATCTTACTCGGTATTCTTTATATTCATTCAAAAAACAAAATGGCTCAGGTACACATCTGAAATTTGTGAGTTGTTAAAACTTAGTCGCACTGTATTTTTTCCTGATTCTGTGAGCTTGAACTTTCTCAATCAGAAGGAGAGTTCAGACTTGCGAATATATCAGGGAATTGTTGATACATAAAATTAAATGAAACATACATATTGACTCATATTTTTCAAGAATTTTCTTTCGTAGTTTTTCAAAATGAACTTCGTTTATGGAAAACATTGCTTATAGTAGATGGATGATTTATTGACATTGTTTCATGGTTCTATCCAAAATGGTTCCATGAATATATGAATGGATTTCTTGGCTAATTATAGACAATAGTTCACAGAAGCCCATCTTCGTGGTACAGGAAGTCGGGAAAATGTTGTTTATAAGGGTTCCCTTTCGTGCGCTCCAAAGATAAAAAAGTTCTGTGCCCATCACAGACTAGCTACTCTTCGAGGCCTAATCAAATCTGTTTCATGAATCTGATGATTTTTCTCGCTTATTTTTCTATAGCATAGTTTGAATTGACATTTTAAAAGCACATTATATAAGAACTTCCTATTTGCATTGTTTTGGACAGAAAAAGTAACATATATCGAAGACTGGAACCTTTGGCACGATAATACACTACACTGTTTTACCACTAACCAAACCGATTTTTTAACGCCTCGACACGACATTTTCAGGAGAAGATTAAAACTAAATATCTAAATGTGTTAGTTCCTTTTCTAAAGACATCAAATTCCAAATTGTAAATTCTACGATTTTTCAAGTGAATAAAAGGAACTCTAGAAGAATCCCAATCCCGTTCAATCCCGAGTGTACGAAGGGACTTGATAAGGTTTTCAAAGACTTACGTTTTGAAAGCGTTTATCAGTCAGGGTCAAAATTAGGCAATTTATTAGGCAATCCGAAAGATAAAGTGGACACACTTGAAAAGTCGGGAATATACGAAATAAGTTGTAATGATTGTGATAAAACATATATAGTCCAAACCAGGCGACCCATAAAAACAAGGTTCGAAGAACACATAGCCCATTTAAAATATGGCAGGTTAGATAAATCTTGTGTAGCGGAACATATGTTCAATCACAATCATAACACACATATTACTAACCTCAAATTAGTTAAGAAAGATGATAACATTAGAAAACTGGACGCATATGGAAGCTTGGAGATATTTAAGAATAGTAATAGAGTAATGAATAAGGATAATGGACCTATTCCATATAGCCCTCTATATAGTTTAGTGAAATAAAAATTAAGATTAACATGTGAACTCAACCATGACAAACATTAACTTGACGGTTAGTATTTTTCACAGTTGGGTGAACATATACCTAGTACATAAGCAGCACACTAGAATAGGATATTTAGTTTTAATCTTCTCCTAAAGATGCTAACATAGTTAGCGAAACACGTGTCGAGGCGTTAAAAAATCGGTTTGGTTAGTGGTAAAACAGTGTAGTGAAAAAGTAACATGATTACAAAGTCATCATGTTCTAAAACAAAACAAAAATTGTTAATGATACATGTAATGATGTCACAAATCGCATGCAGACAACTGTTTTGAAAATCTGATCTGAAAATAAACGAGTCATTGATCATTTTATTAAATCTTCAATTTTTTTTTCTTCAGATACCGACAATCAGCGCGTGATCATCCACGTACGAGACGTCAATGATGAGCCGCCCTATTTCATTAACCGCCCTTTACCCATGCAGGCCGTTGTCCAGTTGAACGCCCCGCCCAACACGCCCGTTTTCACCCTCCAGGCCAGAGACCCAGACACCGATCACAACATCCACTATTTTATAGTCAGGGATCGAACGGGAGGTAGGTTTCAACGTCAATTGACGATAAGAACACATCAAGTACCTAATCTGCAACTTGTTCAACTATTCTTACAAATTGAGGATATTCCTGTCCAACTGGAAAATTGCAATAGTACAACCAGCTCCTGAAAAAGGCAAAAAGACCCGACCTAGCAACTACAGACCGATCGCACTGCTATCTATTATTCCAAAGATCATGGAGAAAGCCATGAACATCGAGCTCATGAGATACCTGGAACATTCTGGTATTATCAACGATAGGAACTTCCATCATCAGAGATCAACTCTTGACCTGTTCGCTTACGTCTCACATATATGGCAGCAATCTATTGAAAAATATGGTGAAACCTCAGTCGTGGCACTTGATATTTCCAAGGCAAGTCTGGCACCATGGACTCCTCGCCAAGCTTCCATCTTATGGCTTGCCTCCCAAGCTATGTTCTCTGCTAGCTGATTTTCTCTTGAACAGGTCTCTCATGAATGCTGGTGTTCCGCAAGGATCAATTCTAGCACAAATACTATTTCTACTCCATATCAACGATTTGTTGAAAGCAATGTCCAGTACACAGCTTTGCGGATGATATTACCCTCCATACCGCCTTCTCTTTCAGGGCTCCAATACCAGCCAGGCAAATCAGAAACGAACGAGGGAGAAATGTTGACAACATAAATATGGACTTGGCAACAATTCTCGAATGGGGATCCAATAACTTGGTAGATTCCAATGCTAACAAAACACAAGCATGCCTTTTCTCTAGAAAAGCCGATCTCACTGTGCCCAACATGAGCTTGTCAGGAGTAACCATACATTTGAAGACATCCATTTCGATGCTTGATATTACTATCAGCAATAACCATTCTTGAGGGAATCACGTGAGATCAATTGCTAGAAGTGCATCCCAAAAATATGGTTTTCTGTTTCGGGCCAGGAGCTATTTCACTTCAAGTCAGCTGCTTATGACCTATAAGGCACATATCCGACCTGTCCTGGAAAACTGTTTCCGTATTTGGAGTGCAGCACACAAATATACCCCGAAACTGTTGGATTGTGTCCAAAAAAAAAAAGGCAATCCTTCACGTGCGTGATGCCTCGCTCACAAACTCACTCACTTCTCTGGAACACCGTGAAAAAGTTGGCGATCTGGCTCTATTTCATAGATATTTTTATGGACGATGCTCTTCTGGAATATCAACAATTGTTCCTCCCTTGGCAGTCTCCGCGAGATTAACCCGTCGAGTTGAGGCTTCACACCTCATCGTGGTCACTTTGGAGACCTGCAGAACATCTCTTTCCAAAGACTCGTTCATCCAACGAACAGCGAGGCTCTGGAACACATGGCCAAGGGAGGTGTCCCCCGAGGCATATTACCTCCAGAAATTCAAGAAGAATACCAATTCCTACCTTATTTCCTTTGGATCTCACGATGTTCTCTGAACATTACAGGATATCCCTCTCGTGGGAACCAGAACTCAAAAAAAAGTGTGAATTTGCACTTTGGGGTTTCGAGTAGTCGAGCTATGAGTGTTCTAGATCAATTTTATGACTAATTACGATGAAAAACGTCACGAAAGTATTGCCGTGCTTCGAAACGTCGAAGTGACGTCACGAAAACAACTTGCGTGCGTCAAAATGTCGAAAAATATTGGAAAAAGCGTCGCATATTCATAGCAATTCTGCGACGTTTCCCCAATTAGTTTCTTTGACGTTATTTCAACACTTTTTTGTTGTTCTTCGACGTTTTCTGACGCTCTGACGTATGCGAGTCTTTTTTGTGAAATTTTCCAGATTACAAAAATTGTCGTAGCTTAACTACTCTCATCGCAAACAAGCATACTTTAAATGGTCACTGTCAGAAAAATCATCGAGAAATCACGTCGATGTCCTTGAGGCCCTTACCTCGTGGAGGAAGATATGATATGTGATGAATCACCATACATCTCGAGGCTGCAGAGTATCGAGAGAACCGAAGACTCCAACTTACCAACGATCCTATTGGTGACTCAATGAACTTCTTCTTTATTTTGAAAAAAATTATTCGATCGAACTAATAATTTTAATTTTTTCTACCAGTGACGCCTTATTATGTTTGGCGAAATCGTCATTTCATTCTAGATCACAACTCCTTTTCATTTTTTTTGGAAAATTGATGACGAGCAATTCCTTTGATTTTTCTAAAGACGATTCAAAGGAACGAATCAGGATATGCTCACCTTTCACTCTCAAGTTTCATAATCATTGTTGTAATTTTAATGAATCTAACTATTTCACTAGTTAGATTGAAATCATTCAGATCTGAGCTGATTGTGATGATGTTGTTTCAGAAATTATTGATTCAACTGGTTCTTGTTGTTCTGAGTTTTTTTTACAATTTCGTTTTCGTTCCTCAGGGTCGAATGTCATTCATATGTTGATAGGCAATATATTCAACATTTCACATTTCTTGAATGAATCGAGTACCCTTAATACAAATAAACTAGTAGAGCAACAACAATTCTCATGCAAAATGTATGTGATCTACAGGAAGATTCGAAGTAGATGAGAGATCTGGAGTGGTCAGAACCAGAGGTACAGATCTCTTCCAACTAGACATGGAGTACGTGCTTTATGTCAAAGCTGAAGATCAAAATGGGCGGGTGGATGACAGAAGGTTCCAGAGCACTCCAGAGGAGAGATTGTCGATAGTTGGTGGAAAAAGAGCTCCACAGTTCTACATGCCGAGTTATGAAGCGGAAATTCCAGAAAATCAGAAAAAAGACTCTGAGTGAGTATAATTCACACACACACATGTAGCATGATAATATTCATTTTAGCTTAGGACATGATTATGATCATACTACGATTATTCATATCTTCATACAGATGTCATATTACGTTGGTAACAATAGTGAAATGTCTCTAATTCATCATCAGGAGTCAAAATTATCTACGAAAGTTACGAAACTTCTGGTGTAATCTGATTTCTAACAAAGGGAACTTATTCAAACTGTCATAAAGCCAGACAGTGCCTATTATGCACACATCATTTATTCTCAGTATCAACGTTACTCCAAATGTTCAATATCGATCATTCAAGCCTGTAACTCGAGAGTAATTCTAGGGATTCTCGTGTAAGGCCTGAAGTAATTATTTTTTAACTCATATATGAAATTTCAGCATAATCTCCGTGAAAGCGAAATCTTTCGCTGATCGCGAAATACGCTACACACTCAAAGCACAAGGCCAAGGGGCGGGTACCTTCAACATCGGTCCTACTTCTGGGATAGTCAAACTAGCCAAGGAACTAGACTTCGAAGATTTGCGACAGCCACACGTATACTCGCTGGTTGTCACTGCGACAGAGGATTCAGGCGGATTTTCTACATCGGTAGAGGTAATTTGATATCTTATAAGGCGTCAATGCAGTCTCATGGAACTATCATCTCTTCTAGCTGACAATAAGAGTGACTGACGTTAACGATAACGCACCAAAGTTCGAGCTTCCCGACTACCAAGCGCACAACGTGGACGAAGACATACCAGCCGGAACTAGCATCCTCAAGGTCAAAGCGATGGACGCTGACAGCGGCACGAATGCCGAAATCGAGTACCTAGTTTCGGATGACCACTTCAGCGTCGATCCCACCGGCATTATATCCAACAACAAACAACTGGACGCCGACAACAACAACGCCTACTACGAGTTCTCGGTGACGGCGAAAGACAAAGGAGAACCTTCCAAGACTGGCCAGGCGACAGTAAGGATTTACACGAAGAACAAGAACGACGAGGAACCGAAGTTCTCGCAACAAGTTTACACGCCTAACGTCGACGAAAACGCAGGACCCAACACCCTAGTGACAACAGTGGTGGCTTCGGACAAGGACGGCGACAACGTTCGGTTCGGTTTCGTCGGAGGCGGTACCAGCTCGGGACAGTTTGTCATAGAGGAGATCACCGGAGTGATCCGACTGCACAATAAAGCTATCACGCTGGACAGGGACAAGTACGAGTTGAACGTCACCGCGATGGACGACGGCGCTTGCTGTGTCAACGGGGACGCCACCATCCACACCAGCACCGCCGTCGTCGTGGTTTTCATCACCGACGTGAACGATAACAAGCCGATTTTCAAGGACTGTGGGACTTACTACCCGAAAGTGGAGGAGGGGGCGCCGAACGGGTCGCCGGTTATTAAGGTGCATGCCACTGACGAGGATAAGGGGGTGAACGGGCAGGTGAAGTATTCGATCGTGCAGCAGCCCAATCAGAAAGGCACCAAGTTCACTGTTGATGAGGAGACGGGAGAGGTGTCGACGAACAAGGTGTTTGATAGAGAGGGGGATGACGGAAAGTTCGTATCGGTGACAGTGAAGGCGACGGATCAGGGAGAGCCGTCCTTGGAAGGAGTTTGTTCGTTTACGGTGGAGATTACTGACGTCAATGATAATCCACCGCTTTTCGACAGACAGGTAAAGTGAACGATATGTATCGTAGATGTGAGCATTTTTTCGATTTTTTATGAAAGATTAGGAGAGAGTAGCTCAATAATATATCTTAAGATGTTGGAGATTGTCAAGTGGTTCTTGTATTTCGATTTCATTCTTTTAAATATCAGAACCCATAGGACAATAATTATTCTTCACGAATTTTGATGATGAAAAATTCATAAATCAAGTTCCTTGTGCATCTTCTGTTGAAAAAAAAAACATTGAACGTTCTCAGATGACAGCAACACATTGATTGAAATTACAAAAATTGACTCATCGATGATTTAATCTTGTAAAAGAAGGAAATTATTTCCCCAGGGTTCGAGTAAGGAATGGTTGAATATTCATGTGGTTTATTACGAATAGATCATTTGGATAATAATATATGAGCTTCAAGGTAGATGCACATTGCACGCTGTCATAACGATTCCATAAACAGTTCAAGAGGACAAACAGAATTTCTCTAGCATATGAAAGTTTACCATCTCATCGTTATTAGACTCTTTATGACACTCATTTTCGTGAATATCCATAATGCTGCTTTACTGACGTATATCTCATAAGGGGTGATAGGTACCGTAAGATGATTTTGATCATATTCAACCGTTTAGATATGAAACACGTAATGGAATCTACCGCTATTATGGTGAGACAATCGTAACTCAGTAGAATTCACAAAACAAATGACAGTCAGCCAAATTTGGCTCTGAATGAGCGAATAGAATAAAACATTATCAGTATGTATATTTGTATAGGTCCAAAATTGTTGATTCGTTTAACCTATCACCTCTGTTCAGGCATTCTAATCATCCATAATAGCCAATAGCCTTATAATCACACGAATCGGCTATATTGATGATACGTTTTTTGTCTGAAGAAATACGTGGAGAACGTCAAACAAGACGCCAGCATAGGAACCAACATCCTGCGCGTCTCAGCTTCCGACGAAGACGCGGATAACAACGGCGCCATCGTTTACACCCTCAACGCGGGTTCAAATCCAGCCGACTTGGAGTACTTCGAGATACAGCCCGAGTCGGGCTGGATAGTGCTGAAAAAGCCCTTGGACGTAAGTACGACTACACGTCGCGCGGCGTAGGTTCGATTTAGGTAGTTATAGCGAGTGGATGATGCGTGGATGGATGACCTTTGACGTTTCAGCTGTGTCTCTCTTCCTCTTTAGTCTGAAGATGCTAGCCGGCGACGAGACTAGGTACGACTGGAAATAGCTGCTTCTTTGTTCATCATTTTTCAGCGCACCTTACTTTCAGTTGCTCCGGTCGATCTAGTTATTCGGGATCGACCGCACTAATCTCTGTAATTTATTGATGAGTTATTTTGTACGGCACACCTTGCATAAAACTTGTTTACCGGTACTTTACCGTACTTTGAGTTGAATATTATTTTTTTTTTGGGATACACCAAGGCTCGATAACAATACGAGATCATCTGTGCCAGCCTACACTTCTTTCGATTATTCATCATCATTCATACTTTTTTAAACGAATAATGTTTTTTCTTCTTGAGATCATCTTCACTCCCAGTACATTCCGATACCCTTCGCTGAAACAATCCGGCATCTTTAAATATATATACAATTTTGTAAGAGGAGTTGAAAAGGCTAGTGTGGTTTCCTGTGACGATTACTGAATTATTCTCTAACTATGTATTGTTATCGAGCCTAGCACATACTCAGTTACCCTTTTACTATATTTTGGAGTAGCAAGGAGCGCTGTTTTATTTTTGATAGCAGATGCTAGTCCATCGACTCGCCGCCACTTCGTCCGGTTTTTTCTCTCCCGAGCAGCGGAGATTTTTCTCTTTCGACGAACATGATTTTTGAGCCTGTGATGTGATTTTTGTGTGATTTTTTGCAGGTGTTTCATGCTAATACGATTCGTTGATGATTTTGGTCATCGGAAGCGTCGCACGGACTAACGATTTTTGAAACCCGATGTGGGGTGGGGCAACGTTGTCCGCTGCGGCACTTCCAGACATTGTGACATTTTTTAACCTGTGTATGGGGCGGCGTACTAACAAAATAGTTACTCATAACGTCCATCGGTTTTTGGAGGTCGTTTAAAAAAAGATACTTTTTGCACATCCTTGCTCCCGCCCTGCCCTCACGAGTTTTTTGAAATATTTTTGCATGATATGCCTGCTTAGGAAGTTTTGTTTTTTCGAATATGGTTATCAATGCTACTCGTCAGGCGGCCTCATCAAGCAATCAAGATTTAAATGTGCTTCAAGTCAGCGATTTGGCTTGTTGTTTACGTTTTTAGCAGCATTCGAGACAATGAAGACTATCATAATTATTTTATCTTTGGTAAATGAAGAAATTGTGGCTGTTTCAGAGTCTCAAATTTATGATATTTTGGAACATTTCTTTCATGAAAAATACTGGAGGAATTATTGTGAACAAAAATTGCAAAAGAAATCATGAAAATCGAGAATCAAAAGCTAAAAATAATAATTCCTGGTCAGATTTGGCTCAACATATTAAAACAATGAAATGGAGAATAGAAAATATCTCAGATGTTGAATGAATCTGATTAAAAAATGGAAACTGAATTATATAATCAAGTATCAAGTTGGTTGACTACAACTCATTTCAGACATCAAGACGATATAGCCATTTCCAATTATTCATATAATAATATAATTATGAGAAAAAATGTTTTATATATATATATATATATAGTCTACATTGCAGGTTCATTCGAAGTTTTTTTCCTGTCAATAAATGAATACTTCAATTTCAAACAACATGAGTAATGTGAGAACACATCGTTATGAGAAATTTTGTTCTTCACTTATTTTGTGTCTGATACGTTACCAGATTCCTGGTGAAATATCAAAAAAGAAGTTTCAATTTTGCTAATGTATTTCTAAGGATATCCATTACTTCTTTGAGCTTAGGTATAATGAACTCATAATTTAGTGTTCATTTATATTCAAGTATCCATCTCGCTGCCTCAGTCATTTCGAAATTAGAAAAAATTCAGTGTTTGAAGTGGAGCCCATCGTTTTGGAATAGAAACTTGAAAGCGTCATCAAGTAGATGAAATTCTCATTGAGATAGATGTATCAAGCTGAAAACATATAGCAGGTCTTCTATCACAGTAAATTATTTATAAAAAATGACTCAAGAACAATAAGAAAGTTCAATCAATATGCATGTGGTTCAGTTCCGAATTGAATGACCATGCATTAATTTCTGCGTTCATGTTTCGATTCACTAGTTTGTAGATGAATTTTTGTTCCCAATTACCTCTCAGTACATCTTGTCGTGAATCTGGGGCAAAACTAAAAAATACATCCTTCAAGTTTCAGGCCCACTGACGAGTGTTTATTTTATGAAGATTTATTATTTTTTTAATTTAATTGCACTTCTTTCTGTTGTTCATCTTAACCTCCGTCCATGGAAACAGGGATGTTACTCAGTAAGTAAAAATTGGTGCCAATATAGTATCTTACTCGATATGAGGTACAGTAAGCCTGTAAGCTGTAGATTTTGACAGCCGCAATCATTTTATGCTATCAATTCATCATTTTGTATATTTATTGCCACCAATTGTTTCTATATGGACTGTGTTTCGGCAAAAACGCAGAGCACATAATTTTCTATTACTCATTATTTTTATTTCATTGTCCATACCAATTTCAAATGGGATGTGTACACTTGATTACTGAATGTCGAATGTGTGTCACTGATACACTAGCATGATTTATTTCTATCTCAAGTAAAACTGTTTTTATTTGATGATGTTACAATTTGAACATTCTCAAATTGAACGTAATATATAATTCCACCTACAGACTGAGAGATTCAGTTTCGCCAGAAATGAAAGGAAGACTTCGAATATTCACCAATCGCAAATCTATTTTCCAGGAGGTATCAGATGACACTGTAATAATATTCTCTTTCAGGATGGAAAAGCATTGCTTTGTAGCCCAAACACAGTCCAATAAAGATGGTACTTGAAAGGAACAATAATGATACCGCACAGAAGAGGAAGAGCCCTAAGGGTCGTTCTCCTCCATCTTCGCTAGTCTCTTGCTACCTACTTCGATTGAATAGTCGCGATCGCTATCAAGACATATCTCAGTCTTCTTTTATTACAGTAAATTTGATATCATTCGATGAGAGGTTTCAGCAGTAACTTATTAGTAGAGAGTGTACCTACTTGTCAGAATGCTATGGTAGATATCTTGACCTTGGCGCAGTCATGAGCACCTGGAGAAAATGGAGAAGAACGAACCCCTATCATTATTTTTTCGGCCGCTCACCAACCATCTTATTTGCTCTTGATTTGTTCTGTTGTGTGATTGAGTTACCGTTCCGTATATTTTCATTTTCGTTTTCCGCTCGTTTCGTTGACTGAATGTGTTCTGTTTGGTTTGTCCCATGTACCTGACCTCACCGTGCTCGTGTTTTGCATATAGCGAGACAGGTACCGTCTGCGCGTGCGCGCTTCGGACAGAGGCTTCCCACCATCCTACGCGGACGTCGACATCGAGTTAGATGTCGTCGATAGAAACAATAAGCCGCCGCTGTGGGACGAACCTGCGTACGGCCCCATTCACATCCGAGAAAATGTCACAGTGGGCACAGTAGTGACATCTGTGAAGGCAAGGTTGGTATCGGGCGGCCGTTGGAGTCGGGCCCGATCGTCGTCCCGCGGCCCGAGGGTGGGGGGGTCGCGATGGGGAAAGGCCCGGGACGGCGGTCCGCCCTAGGGAGTCCAAGCGCTACCAGACCACGATCCGTTTCCGCTCCAAGTTTGTTGTTTCGGGGCGAACCAGCTCGAGCGTGAGGCCGGTGTTCTCCAGCCTTGCCGACCTGTTTTGTCGGTCCCTCCTGGATCGCTCGTGGCTTTCTGGATGCACTTGGGGCTGAAGCCGAAAGCTCCCGTCCTTCGTCTGCAGGTTTCCTGGAACGTCCTATCCGAGGACAACGGTCGGCGAGAATTTGATCGAAGAAAAAAGGATAGAGAAACATTTGATAGAAGTATTTCTGATAGAATATCAGGTATATGATGATAATACCATAGTGATTGTCGAAACTTTATAAACGAGAAGATTTCTACTAAATTATCATCAATACCACATATTGCATTCTTTCATCCGAATACGCTTCTGTATTAGCGAAGTATGTCGTGTTTTTGGTGATTCTGTGGAAATCTCATCGAAGTTTTCATAGCAGCCTATATTCAATAGGTGATAAATGATATAATATAGTATTTGATGTAACAGAATCAGATTGAAAACACATTTGACAAAACAACAAAGTTAATACCTACTTACAAACTATATTCTGTTAGAAGGAATAGCTTTTACATACTGTGAAAAAATTAATATTCGTGACTTCACATTGTTCTCAATCTGGAAACTACACAAAATCTTCAATTTTTATTCGTCTAATATTTCTTCGTTTCGTTTTGTACTTCAGCATCCCATGGTCCGTGATGCTTTGTTCTCAGAGTATTTCTTCCATTTTCCATATTTTATCGCAATGAACTGTCTCTTCAGACTATTATATATTTCTTCATCTATGTTGTTAAATTATAGCGACTTCCAAGGGTTGTTTGTAGTAAATTACAGATTTTGTTTTCAAAACTATGGATCGTTTTCATTTTCTTCCCTAGAAATTTCCTATCAACTCATTCTCAATGGAGATAACAAAGTATTTTCTCCCCTAGAAATTTCCTATCAACTCATTCTCAATGGAGATAACAAAGTCTTCACCGAATCGCTTCAGAACTGTAATGAAATGTAATCAACATATTTCATCAATTCACATTTTCAATTTCCTTAAGGAAACACAATAACATTCATCATGTTCAGTCCGTCTTTTTCATACCTATTCAAAATGTTTTGATATTCAATGAGTAGCCTGAAAGTTCATTTATCAAACAAGCCATAAACAAACTGAGATGAAATACGACTTGCCTGTCGAAGAAATTTCCAAGTGATATGAATACTATCGTGTATTCCGGATATTCGTATTTCTCATCGTTCATCAACGAACATAAACTTTCTTACGTTTATCCATTGCGCTAGTCGACGAATACATGTGAACGATTCAGAATACCCCTGTAATGATTTTGATTATTTTAGTATTATTCTCTCAGTCAATGCCAACTCTGATCTGAACAGAAAGCTCGCGAATGATTCAGATACATTTGTGAAATTTATTATTGATTGTTTCCAACACTCCATTTTAACCCCAGTCATCGTTTTAATATGCAGGGTATTCTGCATTTTCCAATATAATCTTCCATTTATAAATGGATCTATCATGAATGTTTAGATATGCGTACTACGACATATTGATAGTTTTTCACTATTCACCCAGATCTTTTTTAATGATCATTATTTAGTAGAGAAAAAACTGTTGCAAGTATCAACAATTAATATTTATTTTTATCAAATGTATTAGGTACACTTTCAACGCCTCGACACGTGATTCGCTAACCATATGTTAGCATCTTCAGAAGGAGATTGGAACTGTTTATACTGATCTAATACTATGCTGCTAATATCATAGGTATTGATCCTATCCTTAACCACTGAGTTCTTTTTCATTATTTATAATTCTATTATCCTCAAATATTTTTAGGCTTTCATTGGCATCTAATTTTCTAACATTATTATCTTGTTGACAATTGTATTTTCTATCTATATTTCATCATCAGATTCGACTCCTGGACCGTGTGTCTTCTGTTTCTGATCAGATCATTTCTATCAAGTGTTTATCTATCATTTCACCTTTCGATCGAATTTTCGCCACCAATACCAGACTCAGCCCCAGCTTTCCCGCAAGCCACGACCGACCTCGAGTTTCTCGTTGCTCTCTGTCAAAACCGTTCGATGCGTAATCATTGCTGTCCTGTTTCCTCGTTCGCACCTGAGCAGCGCGAGACCTACAAGCTAGAAGCGACCGCCCAAGACAAAGGCTACCCTCCCCTCTCCCGATCCGTGGAGGTCCAGATAGACGTTGTGGACCGCGCTAACAATCCCCCCGTGTGGGACCACACTGTGTACGGCCCCATCTACATCAGGGAAAATTTCCCTGTCGGGGCCAAGGTGGTCTCCGTTAAGGCAAGGTCTGTGCCACCTCGAACTACTTAACGCTGTTGGAGGACGGTTTGGAGATAGAAAGAAAGGAGGATGTTGCTTTTTTTATTAATTGGATTTTCCAAACTTCCACGAGGAACTAATTCAAATATCCCTGAGTATGGTTGATAACGACAGGGCAATCAATTTTTTTAGTGAATATGTGTGAACAAGCTTTTGAATAAGAATCCCATACTCGGTTTTTGATAATTGATTATGATAACTGCAAAAACAATGGCGTCAGTGCATAAATGAGTGATTTATTCTGAAAAGTACAGCCATAATCATTTAATGCAAAACTGACAGACTTTGCTTCACTATCCATGGTTACATTCAGACTTCGATTTGCCATCCATGGTTACATCGTGTCAGACCAATCAAAATTGAAAAATAGCTCATATTTTCGTGATAAGCACACGTTGTCTCTGGCTTGTGGCAAAACAATAATTTCCTCCTTGTCAGTGAAAAAACTTTCACGATATCGTTTTAGAATGCGGTATTCGATTTTTCTCAATATTCCGCAAATTATCGATTTATAGTGATTATTAATAACGATTTTGATGAATAGCGACCAAAACCTTCGTTCAAAAGTAGAAATTTCAATTTTGAAGAAGAAAGAATGCACGTGAAGAGGAAAACCATTCGTATCAAATTCATCAAGCTTGATGATTTCCCTCTTTTCAGTGTGCTTTGTTTTACTCACGTCAGTCATATTGATACCTCTGAGAACGTAATCTTATTGCAGACAATTATGTTCATTGAGGACGATTGTTTTCTCAGAACATTTCGGATGTTTCACAAAACCAAAACAACCAGAAATAGCTTCTATGTTGACAGCAATTCTATCCCAACGATACTTAGAATGCAACTGGATTCTGGAAACATGAGTCACTTTATGTTTCTGAAAGAGTGCTGACAAACAAACTAATAGTTTTCAACTTCTTCTTTCTTAACGACAAATGGTTTCCGATTTCAAGTCGACGCAGCCATTAGGTACTTGTACATACCATGGTTGGAACATTTCAATACTTATATCACCTTCTAAATGAACAGAGTATATATAACTTATACAAACTAAAACACATTGAAATCAGGTGAAATGCTGACTACGTCATACCTATACCTTACTCCTAACATTATATTCGATAGTTTATGTAATAAATATTTTCTATTAACTTCATACACCAAACTATTTTATAATTGGAACTTTCCAAGAAAATGTGGTGAAGAAACTATATCCCTCTGATGGAAATAATTACTATGAATCATCAACGAAACCCAATTCACGGGTACATAAAATGGTGATATGAAATGTTATTATCTAGTGTGCTCTCATTGTATACATTTTCAAATTTCATTTCGAATTTCGAAGTTGATTATATTTTGAAAATTCAGAGGTATTAGAATACTAATCACTTCATTTAGAAAATATATAAAACTATGAGTTCAGTTATATTCAAATGTATACACTACATTCTTATCAAACAGATACTGATTAGTATCAGAGATTGAAGACAATTTTCTATTTTTCTGATACGTTACTAAAAACTTGTTGAATGATTATTCTCGATACATTTATTTTGTCTTTTCCTATGACGACCTGAAAACTTCTCACACCATCGACTGTCCAAGTTTATCAACAACAATGGTTAGTTATTCAGTAACTATCAGTTGGTGGATATGAAAGGCACTAAAAATGATAAAAACATTGCTTCGATGAACTTTGATACCTTCGAATAGAGTAGTTTTTGAAATGTAACATAACATAACTAGAAAAACTACACAAGAGTTCTTATCAACAAAAATAGTTACACCGAATAGGTCAACCGAACATGAAAAACATTTTCGAAAAATCACCTGCGTGTTTGTCTGATGCCAACTTCTTTCCTTTTATCTCCATTGGTACTTCAACAGCAGTCTTATCAGTAATCATAATAATTGGAATCGATGTGATAGTGACCGTCTAGCAGCACGAAAGCTATTCGGCACATATCTCGTCTGTTTGTGCACGCTTTTCCCATCGATTTGGGCCAGCACGTGCCCAATTGTCATCAAAAATCAAAATTAAACACGAAAAATTCTCCAAAATCAAAATTACCAAATAGGCAAAGTATACTGCTTTCATTATTATTCCTAGGTTCCAAAATATTCTTCAGTATATTGTTTCACTATTGATTATATATAGGTACTTCATCTTTCTCAATCTACATGTCATTTATATTTTGAATATCATTTCGTTACATATAAATTAGGTATAGGAATCATATTGAAAAGGAATATTCTCAGATATATTATAAACATGAAAAAATGGATACATTTGAATAAATACATTGAGAATTCGCATTCTCTATGTGATGAAATTATTAATTCTTTCTCGGCATATTCAACAGAAAACAACTACTTTCCTGGCTATATGCCACGACGAACATTGAATTATATCAATTGAACATACACGATAGGAATTTGAGCATAAAATGAATATCGTCTGTATGATAAATGTCAGTTTGTCATACATCTAAAACAATAGGAATCATATTGAAGTGAATAGGTACCTACTGCATATCGTATAATATTTCTCGTTTCAAAGTTATTTTCAATTAAATCACCCACTAGACATGGAAACATTACTTGAAAATAAATGTTTTATTTCATTGTTATATGCTTGATATTTCTGATACCTACGTAGAGGCAATGATCCTATTCTGTCTCGAATAGATATCACCTACCAACAATAATTACTTTCTGAAAATTTTCAGGTTCCAGGAATTAGAAAATCTGGAAACATCTTGTAGGTTAATACAATAGGACTTGTTATTATATAAGAAAATATTTTATCGAATTTGAAAAACCTGGAATATAAAAAATGTACTTATCATGAGCAATTCATATTTTTATTTGGGAATGTTTCCGTCAAAGACTTGTACTCAATTATTGCTGGCACCAATCACACTGATTTATCATTCCATACATTTGCGTATACATATTATTCTGGATAGGTATACTTCAAGAGAACATCATTGGAATATTATTTCAACAATATCACCAGATTAATATCCGATCGGAAAACATTTTTGTTAGGTATCATGTTTAGTGGGTATATTGCCTTTCGCATTCAAATTTCCATTATCGGATTGTATCTCTATTCAGTTGACTGAAAATTCTACCCATTTCAACGAATAATTCAATCATCTTCATTTCTCTATATCATTCGACATTTTTCATGATGAAATTCCCATTAGATACATACTATTTGAAAAGCAACTTTGAGAAACTATTTTGGAGGATTTTGATTACAAAAAAAATCCATCGTTCTCATGAAATTTTGAATCAAAATCCTGTAGTTCTTTCTGGGTGTGTAGTCCTTCCCAACAACCTGAAATGTATTCCTCGGTCATGCTGAATGTTGTTGGAGTAACTGCACCACACGCATTAATTTCACATAGCTTGGGTCGAAGGGTCATTGCAACACCTTTAACAGCATTCAGCCGACCATCAACCACCCCCATCACCCCACCATCCATAGAATCTAGTTGAAGAGACCATCAGCGACATATAACTTATAGACCAGGAGATGGTGACAGGTGACCTTCTCCCATTTTACGCTGCATGCCTTCTCAAGGTTTTGTAATAACCCCAAAATATGAAAAATTGACGGGCCGACGCACATGTACACTTCTTAAGGAACAGCGTTACTTTGTTTGTGAAAAATTTCCGTGTTTCATATCATATCGCCTGTCGTTGTAATATACGGAAGATCAATCCGCAGCGGCCGAAAAGTCTCGAAGGGATTAGAGTAGATTAGATTTAGAGTGGGGCCTTCGGGCTATCTATTGTGTCTGCCCTCAAAATCGTTTAGAGTTCTTTGGCTAGCCCCACCTTATCTAGAGACTCCATAGGCTAGCTTTCAGATCCCATGTGTATCTTTGGGCTCTGGGTTTTTCCTCACCCAGCGTAAGGAACCTTAGTCTTGACAAGCCCTCACAGTGGCAAAGTATGTGTACTGCTGTTACCTCCTCTTCCTGACAGAACCTGCACAGCAGTTCTTCAGTCAGACCTATCGTACTCATGTGCTTGTTGAGCCTACAATGCCCCGTGAGAAGTCCCACTAGTATTTTAGTTGTACTTCGTTTCTGGCTCAGTAGATATTCTGTGAATGTTGGCGATTGTTTTTTAATGAACTCTTTTGCCTGTCTCATTCCTGGCGAATTGTTCCACCATTCTTGAGATTTGGTTCGCATCTATGATTAGATACTTGTCTTCTGTATAGCTTTCGCAATACCACAAAAGGGTTCTGGCCCATTCAGAGCTTTGTTTGCTCCTGCTCGGGCAAGTGAGTGCCTCTTCATTGCCCTCGTACCCTCTGTATGTGCTGGTACCCATGCTAGAGTCAGTCTGTTCTGACTGCCCAATTCATTTAGGGTTTCTGAGCAGTCCCATACTAGCTTTGAGTTAACTTGCAGTTAGTTAACTGGCCTTGATTGCCGCCTGGCTATCTGGATAGATTGCAATGGGTTTCCCTTTAAAAACTCTTGCCTTATGAATTCTTCCACGCAATGATGTATTGCAATGATTTCTGCCTAAAACACCGTCGCGTATTTGCCTAAGCTCAGTGAGATTCTTGTCTTCGGCTTTCCCCATAAATACCAGCTCCAGACCCTTCCTCGGTTTTGGAGCCATCTGTATCGACAGAAATGTCTGCATTGATAGGAGGTCTTTCCTTCCATGCCTCTCTGTCCCTTATACTTATTTTAAAAGTTTTTTTGAAGCTATATTTTGAGATTCAAAGGGGTTACCAGGAACTGAAGGAAATTAAAGGGGGCATCCGTGTTTGCAAATCGCATGCCGATGTATGGAATTGAAATTTTAGTAACAAAAACACTTTGGAGAAATCGTCGCGCCCCTCTTTCTGACCAACGTTGGAAAATTTGGAAAACTCTGTAAACATTTAATACAGGTTTTCCGTGAATCCAAACTGCATGCCATCAGAAATCAAATACTCCATTTGTATATATAATCAATAGTAGGTATAAAATATAATAAAAATCATCCAAGTCGTCTCCACGTTATTATATTTTAAATACTCCACTTTACTTTGAGATAACATGGATTTCTACAGTAGATTAATAGTAAATATTTATTTGGCATGCACTCCAGGATTTTGCAGAATAGAGGCATAGATGACGAATGTTGCAAATATAAGCGTATTTGCAACTCTTGTCGTGCATGTCTTCATTTTGCAGAGCCCTGATGGGGTACCTGAAAAACTACCAACTATCAATTCATTTTAAAAATGGAGTATCTTCCTGATGGTATTCAGTTGAGAATCAGGGAAAACCTGTATAAAATGTGTAGAGAGTTTTCCCGAAATTCTCCAACGTTGGTCAGACGAGGGGCGCATGCCAATTTTTCCAGAGTGTTTTTGTTAGTGAAACTTCTGATTTCTTCAGTTTTTCGTAACCCTTTTGTGCCCTTTCGGCCGCTGAGGATTGCATGCTATCAAATATTAGCGCACCAGTTTGTTTGAACTTCTGTATATCACAACGGCAGGCAGTATAATATCGCGGAAAACACGAAAATTCATCACTAAAAGAAAATAAGTGCTTTTCATTATGAAGTCCACACGTCCTGCGGCCAGGAACCCGTCTATTGTTCATATTTGAGGGTCAATTATAAAGCCTCAAAGAGGCATGCAGTGTAAAATAGGGGAACGTCACCTGTCACCTGTCACCATCTTCTGGTCTATCACTCCATCTCTCGAGCAACTACTGCACTTCGTTAACCACACGGGTGTGGGGGGGTCGAATCGATTGAATGGCACACGCGCAACTTCTAACTTTGTGATCTAGGTGGCAGTGGTTGCTTTGGAATCGATAATTGGCAAGTAAAACACACGAATCCTGATTTTTGCGCGAAAAACATGTAATCGATTACTAGGACACGATGGCATCCAAAACTTTTTTGTTGCATGATCGTATCTCGTAGATTTTGAGAACGATTTATTTTTTGGCTGCAGTTCGCGTTTGGATGCTTCGTGTCTATAGAATAGATTATTTTTGATGGTTGCATGTGTAAATTTTTTTATGGGTCATGACTATTTATATTTTTTTACAACACCGTTTCAATATTTGAAATACTACATGTTCTTTTCATCTTGATATTGACACAAGTGGGTGTCAATTTTCCTGTAGTGGCTATCCACATTGAATTAGAATGTTATCTGAAAATGAAAGGATGGAAGGATATATAATACTTGACAGAAATTCAATTCCTTCTCAATTTGAATTGATCTCCTCCAAATGAACGACACAGTATCAATGAAAATAATGATGACAATAAAATAACAGTCAAAGAAAGAGGACGAAAATTATCTTTGATGTTCATTGTCCATTCTGATAATCACGATAATCATGGTCTTCGTTGTAACCGTCGTCATAATTTTCTCATTTATCTTACAATTCATACAATATAAAAGTTCTACAGCTCTGCAGCCAGTTCATATGAGATGATATCTCATGTTTCGAGCCATTATTGGGAATGATGATATTGCCTCTAAACATCAATATAAAACTTCAAGAGGTTTCATTTCACGTAGAAAATTCAATATCTAGGAATTTGTAGCAGTAAATATCATAAAAGCATTTCGAGAAAATTGATATACTATACTAGGACAGTCTTAGACCTTCACGAGTAAGAATCAGCAATCAGCATTTTGTGAAGTTCTATCTGTTGTTTCGATATGATACTCTTCATTCCATTTCATTTTCAATTGATACCACAATCCTCACTTTTGTTTCAACATGTTTAATTTTCTTTGTCATCAGATCTGTATGAGGTTGATGTGGACAATTAGCTGCTTCATTTTTCGAAGTTCCTTCCTCCATTCTCAAGTTTTTTGATAGGTTGGTCTTCGCTTACTTCACTATCGTTTCATTTAGGTCTTGTACACTCTGCGATGGTCCAGAAGTCAAGGAACATGAAGGAAGATTCATAGATTCCTGTATTGATATATGTAACGTATACAGTTGATTCAGATATCTGGATAATCAGTAGTGAAATTACCATCAGTCTTGTGACATAATACAATTTATGCATTCATTCTCCAGACCCAACTTTTCCCAGCAGTGCCTTCGACATGAATCATTCCTCCTTTTTTTATGTTCGGAGGTATATATTTTGCAATAAATATGAATGAAATTTCTAATGGGTTCATATTCATGGGTCATGGAAAGTTTCACATTGTTATGAAGGGAATGTAGAGTATTTCGAATTTTGGTCACAAATATTTCAGCATTGAATATTCCCATGTTCCTTGTTATTTTTTTGGTAACATGAGGAAAACAAATATTGTCTTTGTCAAAAGATCCAAGAAAATTTAACATTTTAATGAATTTTTGAAGTCATGACCCTATTCGCGATTTTGCATGTGGCTGATATATATTTTTGTAAGCCATGTACCTGAGATAATTTTTTTGCTTTTTGATCGCCATACACGTATAGATTTTTGGTATGAGCGTACATCAAGTGCATTAGATCAGAAAGAACGCATATTCCTTATTTTTTCTCTGTCTAGCTCTGGCATCGAGAACAATCCGACTGTTTTCTATCGGCTGATGCCTGGTTCAACTGCTCAAACCAACAAGTTCCATACGTTCTATCTGCAACAGAGGCCCGACAATGGTTTCACTTGGGCAGACATAAAAGTCAACCATCCTTTGGATTATGAAACGATCAAGGAGTATAATTTGACGATTCGAGTTGAGGTAAGTGCATCAGAAGTAATATTGAAGAAGAAGAAGAAAGACCTAATTATACTAAAAACCAAAAGTTTTTGTTGACAAAGCATGATGTGTATGATGAGCTATAAGTAATATTGAAACTATAAAATCATATAGAATAAGCACATATATAAGGAACAAAACATTTAGGAAGAACATATACTAGTAAAAGTCACACTGTGAAAAAAGATATTGAACAATCAAAAAACGAATTATGAAAACTGACAAGCGTGTGTATGAAATTCTTGCAAGGCTTTATTCAATAGTAGCTCTTTGACTGCCTTTCTAAACTTGATATGTGTTAACAATGAACGAATATGTGACGGCAGGTGATTGAACATTATTTTGACAATATAAATAATAGATTTTTTATTATTGTACTCCTGAGAATTAGTAGGGAAACCGTACAGTCAACATTCCTTGTGTTGTATACCGACATCGAATGAATGTTCGTGGTATATTTTTTGTGGATCAAACATACACTAGGATGAAGATGCAAGTCAATGTCAGTATTTTTTGTGACACAAATAAGGGTTGACATGGTTCTCTGGATTCAGCTTTACTAAGGTATCTTACCGCTCTCTTTTGTTAAATGAACACAGAGTTCAATAGAAATTCAGAACTATTCCCCCGAAAACAAACTCCATTCATCTCAAAATTGAGTCAATCAGGGCAGAACAGACTGATCGTCTTGCAGATATATTCAATTTATATGAGATGACTCTTACTGCAAAACAATCAGTGTTGATAGTTTTTGTATTCAAGTTCATTGTATTTACCGAATTTAACATGAAAAAAATTCGGATACATTCCACAAAAAACTTCCTATGATTTTTCTGTGTATGTATAATGCTTAACATAATGGTCTGCCGACCGAAAACTGCCAACGACAGCCATATATTGACCTCAAACGTTTATGTACTATTACTGCTGGAAACTGACTAGTTTTCCTATATGCAGTCCCATTAAATGACATCAAAAATTGAAATGAACTTCGATAATGACACCAATATACTGAGAAAACTTTAATTAATTTGTCATTCAAATAGCAAATTCATGCTTCCAGAACAAATTTTCTGCAAAACAGGACAACGCATTTGATACATTATTGCAAAAATCAGTGATGAAGTTAGATAAATCGCTTGAGAAACAATTTTTTTCTCAATTTATACACATATCACAGTTGATTCCAAATTATTTGAACATTCTGGGATCAAAGTTGCATGAATATTTATTGTTTAAAACGATTCAATAACTAATCTTTATCTGTCAAGAGATCTCAGATCAATTATGTTGTGTATGTCTCATAATTTATATTGTAAAAATCGTAAAACATATGACAATGTAGTTTTGTTCGTCGGGGAAGAGTTATTTCACTAAAGAAATAATGAAATACATCATTATAATGCACAAGCCAGAGAAGAGTTGCATTAACCAGTGATAATACTTGATGCTGTATGAAACAATCAAAATATATCGGTATCGAATTATTATAATGAATAAGAAGAATCATCAACAGTTTTCTCTACCATACTGACCAAATCGATCCTGATATTACAGAAAAATGTTTCGTTTCATTTGATTTCACTGGTTCAAAATGAACTATATATACTAATATAGTGCTCACTGCACATTCATGGAATGTTGAAATCGAAAAAAAAAAACACGTGTATCGAGATCGACATATGTTCATCAATCACTATCACTATCTATTGTAAACTGAAAACTGATGCCTTATTTATCTTCGAAATGAACATAAGGGGCATATTTATGAATTACATGTTTGTTAGTGTCCTGGATTCTTGGACCATGGTAAGATCGGTGCTTCACATTTCGGCCGATTATTTGAAATTTATAAGTATAGAAAAAGAGAAAAGGCTTTCTCAATGTCCTCCAATGAAAATAGACATTTTCTGTGATTTTTATTCAGATTCCGATTTCGCTGGGTTTGCTAATTACGAATATCATGATCGGGTAGCTCTATACTTTCGAAAGCAGTAAAAGGGGATAGATAGATGTTTGCTGGAGTCAGAACAATGTGTTTTGATATAAAAGGCATCTATTCATTTAATGGCGTTGAGTTGATGTGTGGTGGGAGTCTTTTGCGATGAAACTCATTTGATTTATGATCAAATAATTCTTTTTCCAGAATAATGGAGCTCAACAGCTCGCCTCCGAAGCCACCGTTTACATCCAGTTGGAAGACGTTAACGACGAGATACCGCTGTTCACCGAAAGAGAACAGGAAACCGTGCTGGAGGGGGAACCTATAGGCACCAAGGTCACGCAAGTCAACGCCATCGACAAGGACGGGACGTTCCCCAACAATCAAGTGAGTTTTAATGAAGAATTGCAGCGGCAAGTGGAACAAGGAGTTATGTTACAAATATGAGTTCTTGGAAAAATAGGTTTTAGTAAAGTTAGCTGGCATTTTTTAATGGAAGCTAGTTTAATAATCTGATTTATGCAACTGTGAGAAATAGTTTTAGGTTGATTTCTTATGATTTACAGCATTTTGCTATAATATCATTTTTTGATAGACATCTGGATTTATGCATACTTAACCCCTTCTTCCATTGCCTGACATGTAGGCAATGGGCACATAGCTCCCTTCTTTCATTGCATAATTGATGTGTAATGTAACATAGCCCCTTCTACCTCTGTGTATCTGCTCAGGTATGAGGAATTGAAAAAAAAACTGACAGGGCAAGTTACATATGCACATAAAACCTTCTTCCATGACATAACCGAATATTTTCGGAAAATGTTACTTCCACATGCCCCTTCAATTTCGACACGCCGTCAAAATTTTCATATTCATTCTCAAAATTTTCAGATTTATTCTCGAAATTATTGAGATTTAATAATAATATACTTCGTTTTCCTTCTGATAGTTACAGAAACCATAAAGGAATAGTCGATAGAACAAAACAGTAAAATATCATCGCATCCTTAGGTTAAATAATCTTTAAGGGAGTAGTAACATGATAATGTCAAGAATTCATTGAGTTGGCCTTTGAGAGAGTTAATCTTCACGATAGTCGTCAAATTATTGGGTAGTCTATTGAAAAGCTTCAGTGCTACAAAATTTGGTACATTCTCTCTGATTTTGGGTTTTGCAAAGGGTACATAATAATAATTATGAAGGTCACCATTCAAATTATGCTTTTCCTTATTCCTGAAAATGAACATACACATTTCAAATATACAAATACTAGTGACAGCTGAAATTTTGCATTCCTTGAAAATCGGTCTACAAGAAGTTCTCCTGGGCATATTGAACATATATCGTAATATCTCTTTTGTGTTACCAACACGTCGGTCACTGCTACTGAATTACCCCACAAACGACTTGCATATCACAGTCGAGAGTCTACTTGAGCGAAGTATAAGTTCAAAAGTTCAATGAGAATCTTATATTCCTTAATGAAAATGTAAGAAAATATTATTGAGACATTCATCCACCGAGATACCTAAAAATGTGACGGTTTTCTTTTGTTCAACATTTGCATTATCACCGACCAGATTTATGGGTTCTGCACTTTTTTTGCCATGTATGAAATCTCACTAAATTAGTTTTAGTTGGAGTGAGGTAAAGATTATTGGAAGAAAACCAGGTACCGAGGAAGTCTAGTACTACACTACTTTCGGCAGCAATATTGTATTTGTCTGATATTATTAGAGATACATCATCAGCATAATATATGTATAATATAAAATTGGTATTGGGTGAAATGGCTCTGAAATGTTCTGGTTCCTACTGGGAAATAAGGTAGGAATTGGTGTTCTTCTTAAATTTCTGGAGGTTATATAGAATTTTGGGATTTATCTGTTGTACTATCCGAAAAGAAAGATTTTGATGGAGAATACCAACAAACGAGACTTTCTCTCCTCGGTTCAAATTGCGATGAAATGTTGCAGTATTCGCAATGTCAAAATTGTGTCATTGTCATTGATATTCCTTTGATATACTCTGCTTTTAACCATATTGGCGGTCCTATTCTCTCAAACTTTAGTGGAAGGTTATTGGAATGCCACTAAAAAAACTTGTTGATTGAATACTGGACACCCGGTACAAAACATTGACTTTTGAATTTTTCAACCGAAATCTTGAATATTTCCTTTTGTATTGAGAAATAATATGAAAACTTGAAGAGTATATTGTCGAGAAATACAAATACCTATGGAATAACATCAATCAAACTCGCATTCATTTCGAAATCTTTGATTATAAATTAACTTCTCCAAATTATTATAAAACATTCAGTACAGTGTAGTTTCGATCAGGTCAGCGGAGTTCATAGACGTCAGTTCCTGCAAAAACCGCTTACCGTGCGATAATATCTAGGTGAGCAATATCGAAACGTAATGGCCATTCCCATTGCAGAAAATTGCAAGCATCGATTCCGAATATAAATAGTACCCGAGTCGATAAGGCATCATTATCAATAATACAAATCATTTGTAATTATCAATTAAAAATTGTTCGCTGTCTTCCCGTCTTCAATCCTGTTGGTCAACCCCATGGTAAACGTTGTAATGTGAGTACTGTCTTCATCAAGTGCTTTTTGCGATCTGTTTCATTTGGCAAGCCATTATGTTCTTTTTCTTTGGTAACCTATCATGTGGCAAGCATTTATTCACCATTTTTCCATTTAATCAATTAATGTCAAATTTTATATGAAAGGATCAAAACCTCTCGTGAAACAGCCAAGCGAGTAGCTGAGTTACGACCTATACGAGGATCAACATCTGAGTTGCGACACGTGATGGAGGCGCCGTTTGATCTCAATAATGCCATATAAGCTACTAGAACCATCTGAGTTGCGAGAAATTTTGAGAATGAATCTAAAATTTTTTTATACATAATCCCAAAATGTTGAGAATGAATCAATGAAACAAATTGAAACAGTTGCGCTAATATGCTGTCGTATTTCACTAACAGCGAACGTCGGCAGCAATCAGTCAAATGAATATTGATGGGGGAAGATTTTGGGTCGCGACATTTTTTTTCTCGCGAACTAGGTGTTATACTGATCGATATGAATTAGGATGACAAGGATTTGGATAATGGATTACTCAAATTTCGGTATCCTGCTTGGAAGATGTCGTGTTCGAATTATCGCTGATGAAGTTAGATGATGGCGCTGACTAATGGTTCGCTAAATTGATAATTTTTATCGAACCTAACGCCACAAGTTTCCCCGATAACTTATCGATCATTTTTATCTCGTTCAGAAACTTCGTAACGTGAGAATGAACTCCAGGGACTGATCCATCACATTTTTCTCAAGGAACGGAAAAAATATTCCACAAACAGTGACTTATTCACCATCGGATAAGTAGAGGTCTTCATAAAAATATTGAGCTTGATATCCGACGTCATCATCTTTTAGAATACGGCGAATCAAAAAAGGGAGTGATTAAAGTTATTCAGATTTTGATTCGACGTACTCGCATGGTATGGTTGTTGAAACAATCTACTTATGCACCTTTGCACTTTTACCACTAGATGGCTCTTAGGACTAGATAGTCCTCCTTCTCTTCGGGGCATTTGATTGACTTCATATATAGTAGTAGCTTTCGTGAACCGGTTGTCAGCTGGCCTAGGGCAATTGATGAGGTTTGGCGAAGCTGAAACATACTGTCTTGCACCAAATGACAATCGATTCACGAAATTTTACTGAGATCTCTTAGTCTTGAGATTTGAGTTTCCTCATCATCTCTCAGTAGGACATCAAACCACTGTGAGGATTCAGGTGTTGTGATTAGTCTGCAGAGTTGTGTCATTTTTGCCTTTCTGTAATATGGACGTTAGAGTCGATAATCGACGTACTCGTATGGTATATGGTTGTTTGAACAATCTACTTATACACCAACGGCTGCTTAACACAATGTAATCCATATTTTACCCCCTTTGGACGAATTTTCCTGTTAACGAGTACGCACTGATGATGACTTAACAATAAATACTATACACTCTTATTTCTTTTTGATCAACGAACAAATCAAATATATCTTTTCCGGCAACAAGAAAAGATAATCTGAGCTGAAAGCTATTAATCATTCATCTAACGTTCTCCTGAAAAAGCACTCCTTGGAGCTTTTCCACTTACACCGCCTCATTCATTATTGAACCGTTTGTGCGTTTGTGTTTTCGAATCTTTATTAGCAGTCGTCTGATCCGGTGCAGCACTGCACTCCGGCTGAGCATACAAAATTCATGTAGGAGATGTTCTAGCCATTGCAATGGGACTTCAAATGATGAATGAAACAAACAAAAAATATTCATAATACCAAAACAAAGAGTGAGAAGAACAAATACATCTATACCAATTCTTCAAATAATTGAAAAAACTGGTACTTGGGTAGCGGGAGAAACATAACTACTATTCTCAATAATGCAAAAAAGTTTTCCGGAATCGATCAAAGTTTTGTACAGTGGACACACTGTACCTGAAACTGCGATCATTTGCAAAGATCTATTTTATTCGATACACAGTGTATTTACCCTTCTCAAGCCATGATATTGTAATCATGTCAAACACACTATCAGAAACACTGTCAATAGACAAATTGCTTTGCCCACTCAAATCACGGTTGCAAACATCAGCTGCTCATATTGTTGATCTGCCTAAGATACGCTCACTTTTGACAAAAATAAACCTCCATTAGAAAATACATTTTGTCCCTGTCGCCTCATAGCCTATCTACTGCTATAATATCATCGAATTAATGAAACGAAAAGCATTATATGAAGGTAATCACGGTAGAGCGGAAGTGGGAAACAAAAGTGTACTGGCGATTGCTTCTGTGGAATTGAGTGCTAGTGTTTGTATTTGCTAATTGTCAAACTATGTTCAAATTGTAGACAGGTAACGTTCAATCATCTACAGACCTGTTCCGGGCTATTGATCTTCATCATTGAAGGTCAGTCACCAGACAGCGATGACTTATAGTTGCTCACTATCTCATAACTTCCTATTCGACATTGAGAATAATGCTGAATGTGAATGAAGAATACAACAGTGACCTTTCTACGTTATCATTCAAACTAAACTATGGAATGAGAATTGTCTTGTAACATTGGGAATTGTATTTTACATTTCCCAATGTAAGAATCGGGCTCATTTGATTAGCCAGATCTCTCTCGAGTTTCCTCACTAAATCGTTTCTCTTTACTTCCAGGTGTACTATTACATCGTTGATTCGCCTCGTAACGAGGGCAAAGACTTTTTCGAGATCAATAAGGAAACGGGCGAAGTGTTCACGAAAGTAGTGTTCGATAGGGAAAAGCAAGGCGCGTACGCTTTGGAGATAGAGGCAAGAGATGGAGCCCCATCGGCGAGACCGAACAGCGACAATGAACCCAATTCAGGTGAGTGAACATTTCGGAATCTTGATGAGGAGAAACCAGTTTTGGGTGGGACACCTTATCACGTTTAATCTATATAGTTCAATCGAAAAACAGGAAAACAATTCAGTGGAAGGTCCAATGTGGAACCTCATCACGATCAGAGGAATCATCTAGCATACGTTGAAACATGATAATATGAATGTTGAACACAACTGTGCACGCTCATGATGTTCTTTAGGAAAGGAATTCATTCAGTCAAAGGTTCAAGCTGGGGTGGATTCAATGTCAAAATGCATCTTCAAAGATCGATCATTTTGTCTGACCCTCTTGCAAAGTCAGGTGAGATCAGTTTTCATTGAAGCAACAATAATTGGTTATCTGATTTCCATCTTACTCCAAAAGAAGTAGTTTGAGATATGATGAATTTCTACCATGACCTGTCCTACATAATTCAAGAATTTGAGGTAGTTTCAGGTTGGGTGAGTCTTTCACTTTCTTTGTGTATGTGCTTTCATGTACAACACCTTTGCATTCGTTAGGGTTACATATTTGACAAACATATGTATAGATCGAGGCTTCATCGGATTCTCCATACAGAACAAGCTGCCTCATTCTCTTACCTCTGAGCCTATATTCCAGTGTCCAATCATCTGTTGTGATTCCCGTTAGTTGGTGTTCGGAATCATTTGAACTTGACACTTGCACAAGATCTTCTTGAAATCGAGCTTGTATGCTGTGTCATTTCTCCTTCAACCCCATGATGTTTCGAGAAGCTAGAATTTCAAAACCACCTCGGGGCTCATAGCCACTACTCATTACTTTTATGACTGATTGGCTTTCATTGTTTGAATCTCCACTCATATCGGAAGATACCTACTTGGAAAAATACCACTCGGGTATTATTGAGTAGTTACTACTTCACACCACTTTGAGAAACTATGGACCTCGAACGAAGGCTATTAAGTAGGTACTTGTTCCGTAGCAAAAATTCTAGACTCATCTGCCGTTTCCATAGCCGCTGTTGTACTTTGTGGTTCATTCTTCCATGATATAAAAAAATCAACCTCACTTCAGGACGACCTTGTAGAACTGTAAAAATGATGGTACTTCATCAGGAACAAAGATATTATGAATGAAACTCAAAACATGAGGCTTGCACTCACATATTTCTTCGTGTGGCAATTAGAAGCATCCTCCACTACCCTCCGACTTACGAGCACTATTCAAATAAACTGATTGAATCTTCTGCAATAATTTCTGGAGTATAGTCAGTCTAACTCCTGTATGTTCTGGGCAACTTATTGACAATTGCTTCAGATAAATCAGCATTTACACCAGTCATCAGCTTATTAAACAGACAGAAATTGCTCTACTGGCTTCACAAGCCGATTCTTAATTTCCCATATTTAGTTTGTGTTCATGGTACCGTCAAACCTACATATACCAAGGTATATATCAGAGAGATTTAGTTCATATAATTTTCATCCAGCATATTCTGAGATGATTTTGAGAGTTTCAAAAACACAGGTGGCTCTGATGATTCGAGGATATTTCATGTGAGAATACATTGGAACGCATGATGGTTCATCTCGTGATATATCTAGATTTGCAGGTCGGTAAGTGTGTATCATAGTGCCTTCTGATCAACTCCATGTACCTGTCGAAGATTGTACAATTTTCATACTACGATTTGGAAATATCGCTTGGCACATAATAACTCTTTTGAAGGTTCTCTCATTTCGAACGGAAAATAATAATTAATTATTTGTTTGGCAAAGAAACTTACAACTCGAGAGCTTTCATTTCTCTGAAATCGAAGACATCAGCAACTATATATTGCCTCACGTTAGTAACATGTTACCTTCCACTTTTCGTCTGCGTCAAAGATATTAATAGCTGGAAGTTTACCCGGAGCGCTTATAAATTTTCTGTTCCTGAACATCTGACAGAAACGTTATTTCTGAGGAGTGTTAACAGTGCACTATTTCGGGAAAATGAGAAATGCTCAGCGTTCTTGAAGAAGAGGAGAGTTCAATATAATTTCGATGGTTTTCTCAATCATGGATAAATATAGAGTGATCACCAGAGATCACCGTATGAGTGAAAATGTTCATATATAAGGCAAGACTGCAGAAAGTATATTTCAGATTTCATAGAACCTGATTATGTGATAATAATCAATTAATGATTTTGAAAGAGTATCCTCATTTTCTTATATTGAATATCATCAAACATTTTACTATATTCAAACGTTTCATAAATGTAATTGTTAATTATTGTAAAAGGTGACCATATAATTCGGGAAAAACGACAATTGAATATTGGAAAAATATTACAATTTATTAACGACGTGAAATTCGATGTTTCAAATTAACAGGCTATCTCAACAACTAGATGAGTTATCGAAAAACTGGTATTCATGATACGGGTTTGATCTTGAAGGAACCTGAAATGGCGCAATTGGAATTTTTATATCTTCATTTATTACAGGGGTAAATTGAAAGTGTCGATTTCGTTTTAATTTTTTGAGTATTTCATGGTGGAGGATATTGAAAGATTCCATATCATATCATCTGGGAGACTACTATAGGAATTGAAATGTGTACATTGACAATACTCTTGTGGATTGATCGAAAGGTACTCATACTATTCGAGGATGATTACAATGATGGTAAAACATTTTTGAAAGTCGTTGTAACATTTTTTGGACAGGACAGTGCCACGAAATATTTAAAAATTTCGTAAAAGACCAAACAAATGATGTAATAACCGTTTTTTCGTCTTTTACAAACATTTTTGATGTTTCGTGACACCGTCCTGTCCAAACATCGACTTTCAGAAATTGTTTACGACCATTGTAATCATCCCCAAATAGTTAAGTACCATTTGATCAATCCTACAGATTTCAATTCTCATTGTAGTAGTCCTGATGATGGAAATATACATTTCCGAATGCTCGGACAAACTGTAATGAGTTCATCTATACTTTGCTGCAATCCCTCCCAACTAGCAAGCTAGTTTTTCATATATAAATATATAAAGAGCACTCTACCTGTTTCTTCCACAATTTCAGAAATGTTATTCGCAGAAATATATTCAGTATGTCACATTGAATTTCTAATCATTGCCCTGATGCCATAGCTGCTGGCGAACAATGTTATCACAGGAGATGGACCCAAGTGGTACTCGAGTATATATTATTAGTATCTCTCTCATGGTTGTAAATTCATGAATCCACGTCAATTATTACGGAAGATACGGATGTGCAACCATCAGAAATGTGACACACTGACTATATTTTTGCGAATATTCCTGAAATTTTAGTGAAAAAGATAAGGGTGATATATATATTCGATATTGGAACGCCTGGGACGATCCAACTGTGTCAAAATATACGGGGTGTGCTATAAGAAAAAAATGGCTGCCGTATCTTTTCAATGATACCCTGTATAAAACATATATGGAGATTATTTCAACCATTGTTTTCAACATATTCATCGGTACCAATCATGTAATCTTCAAACTGTCGCACATATCGATAACATTCGAATCAAATGTATTTCAAGCAATATTTTGTTACAATTTCTGAAAACGTATTTTTAGATGAAGACGACGAATATTTCAATACTTCCGTTTACTGAATTGGATTTCGTAATAAATTCCTCAATATAAAAAGAAAGTAGTAGGTATCAGCAATAATAAACTCCAGAGTCTCCAAATACTTCTAACGAAATGAAATATACGAGATATGTATAGGTGGAGCGTTATATGAGCTCTTGAACAAACTCCCTCTTATTCGTATTAGGTTCCGTATTCAATTTTCCTTATCTGTAAATAGAATGATGCCATCCTATTGTGGACTTTTTCTGTGTTTCTCAAGTGATTAACTCGGCAAGAAACATTTTGATAAGTACTTCAACATATTCGGGTTATACATTGATAACTTGTTGCATAATTACGAAGAGTATCAGTTTAAACTGACACGATTTGTATTTGTGCAGGAAATTTGAGATGTAAATCCTCGATATTTCGAAGTTCGAATTGGATTTGATGCGATCAATTTTTAAGTAGTTTTGAACGAACGTCAAAATTTCACAACGCGTTTTATTTATACGTAACAATATGAATTGGTTAGTATGGAAATGGAAATAATTTTTAAATTTTTAATTGGTGTTACTATACTCTATGTATATCCAGGTATATTCGAAATTGTACAAGGTAGGTTGACTCAATTGCACGTTCTGATTTGTTTGAAATCATACGAAGAAAATAATCAAACTTATATGTATTCCGAGCAATCCCAATGGGAACACTTTCGGTATACTTGGCATCATTGTTGATTCTTTTTATGTCTATGGGAATGGAGGCGGGAATTTTATATGATTCGTACAAACTGAAGACCACAAAAAGTAGGTTTCGAGAAAAACGCATTTCAAAGTCTAAAACCTCCTTTCTTTTTGGAAAATGAGCAATTGAGTTGAACAACTAGAAATAAAAATCATATCTGAATGAAAAAATCATCGAAAACAAAAAATAAGTCCAAAGATTCGATGGACAAATGAGGAATGTCCAAATAAATTGTCAAAAAACTGGATTGTTTACTCGCAATTATCTGCTCTGGTACATTTCTCCATTCTTGCCTGACTACCTAATGAGTGATAAGTTGTCATATAGTACGTCTGACATCTCTATAATCAGATCATTTTCTATAAATTCCACGGGATATGAGTAGGAATCATCATGTAGCAATCTCATTATTTTATTCCCATCACTCAGACGTACTCGACAAGCCCAGTCAGCACACCTTTTTGTCGTCAACCTCGGAATATGTCGAACAACTCTTTACCAAAACTTGTTTATACATAGAACGGCAGAGCTTTGGAATTTTTTGCTATACACAGAATTCTCAAGAACTCATAATCTCCAAATGTTCAAAAAAATCCCAATACTCACCTCCTCTCCCTATCCTACCTAGGTACGCACAATGTTCCCCGAACATTATAGGGATTCCCTTTGGTACGCTCCAAGAGATGAAAAAAGGTGGCCGTATCTATTTTTTTTCCTCATATTCTGTTTGCCTGAGAAGTTCACTTTGACCTTTTGACAGTGTGAAAACAACCTATTCAAATCACAATGGAATCTGTGTTCAAGCAAGCACTAAGCTTGGACGTTCCCCTTTCTTCACATTTTTGAAGTGGACATTCCGCGTTTTTTCCATGTGAACGTATTTTCGAAGGAGCATATTAGCTGACTATGATGCATTATTGCTATGGACTTCTGTTTATACTAAAATATATTGGTAAGGCAATCAAATGGCGATGTCAAGTTAATTTCCACTATATTCTGACATTCCCCCTTTTTCCCCTATGGTCTTCAACTGATGTATTAAAACACTCTCGCTACATATC